TCTATCTCTAGAAGATAATGAAGTTTTTTGCTGAATTTTGCACCGTGACTGTTTCAATGCATCGAAATCATCCTGCCATATATTTCGTCCTGGCACAGTGTGGGTTCATATATTAAACAGCCCGTTATTCAGCAAATTGCACATGCTGCCTTTGATGCCTTGGGGGTTAGGCAGCACTTTCCTTGCGATGGTAACTTCTAGTCCTTAACCCATTAACTATGGTCTCGGTGACGTCAGAAGCGGGTTAGCCTAATATAATTACAAGTTGCATCCAACAGTTGTTTAAAAACCAACAGCAATTAGTTTTAGGATCATATTGATCGCCGGCTTTCACGATAATTGTGTTCGCCTGACAACATTATAGTGACGTAACAAGCATATCCCCAATATTACATGACGGTAAACAGCATGCCTTTTTTCAGTCAAGATATTTCAAGAATGAAACAAAACATGAAATAGTGGTAAAAATTTATTCTTAATTACCCTAAACATTAATTATTATTTAGAATTTATTCTAAATTACCCATCAAATCCAACAATTCAGACTTTTACCTAGACTAGTCCTTACAATTGTTCATTCCTCTGCTTCGCCTCAGACTGAACCAAATTAGTAAATTATTTTCGTCGAATAATCTTTATTCGCTCCTTGGTGTTTGAAAGGCCGGTTTTTTCGCTTATATTACTCCGATCCCTTTATCAGTCTTTCATCCTCTGCAAATAGCTAGCTGGGAGTCATATTTTTCGGGCTTATGACACATTTAGTATCCTTTTATATAGTTTAACCTGAAAGGCTTAAAATCGACAAGACTGCCTTCGCCAAAACATCACTCCAGAACACTGTGCCATGAGCTAAAATCAACTTTGATAATCAACTACCGTCCTGCATTGCACTGTATAGGTATAATTTGAATTACCATGCAAATGTTTGCATCAGCTGCTGGCGAAAAGGTTTTGAGTAAACTCAGGAACCACAAGAATAATTTTGTGGACATAAGGTTTGACATGTATTGATCAATTGTTGACTAATTGCATGCAGCTAAAATAAACAAATGCAATTAAAAATTAAACTAGCTAATGGGAATAATTATTATTTCTAGTCCTATTTATATATAACAATATGCTAAACAAAATGTCATAAAACAAAGTCCAAAGAATGCATCTTGACATAGAAAGATATGGATTTATACTTCATTCATGGAATACCGTAAACCTCCAACTATAAGCCCTGCCCCTGGGCTTATATTCTTTCGTAAAGCCTGGTTCACACAATGAAATAAGCATAAGCACAAGCACAAGCAGCAGAACCTTTGATGTGCATAAACGTAAGCATAAGAAGAACGCAACATTAATTTTGTTCTTCTTATGTTTATGCTTATGCACATCAAAGGTTTCGCTTGCTTATGCTTATATGCTTAGGGGCGGACCATTAGAAATCCCGGGAGGGGGGGTGAAAATTCCCAAAATAAAATTCGTGCAAAGAAAAATGCCTGGAAAAAAATTCGTTCAGCCATTACGTCAGAGAAAAAAAATTCGTGCAAGCAAACAGCAAAGTCATGGGCGTACCGGGCAGTTGGCAGTCGGGCAATATTCGCTGAACAGTCGGGCAATTTTAGTTTATTAAAAAAAAAAAATTGACAAATTCTGTCAATTTTGTGGTAACTTTTGGTATGTGGTATGTCCGGAAAATTTTTTTGACCCTTAAAATGGTACACTGACCGAAATTTTTTTTGGCGACGGGGGGGGGGTGGGGGAGGTCGCCATGAGCAAAGTACAAGTAGTCTTGAAAAAAATTCGTGCAGAGGCTAAGTGTATTAAAAAAAATTCCTGCAGACACATGAGACTGAAAAAAAAATTTGTGCCGCAAAGATTTTATACCCCCCCCTTCCGGGATTTCTAATCGTCCGCCCCTTATGCTTATTTCATCGTGTGAACCAGGCTTAAGCGATTTTTGTTGAGCTTATGCAAGGGAGTGGGGGGGGGAGGGGCTTATATACGGGGGTTTATACATGGACGATCTTTTGTGTTAGTGTAATAGTGATAAACAAGTATAGTAATAGTGATAAACAAGTTTTAAGCATAGTAGTAATAGTGATTAATAGTGGTAATGGTGATAAACAATAGTAGTGATAAACAAGTGGGCTTATATTCGGGTGGGCTTATATTTGGGCCGGGGGGGGGGGCTTATATTTGGAATGAGGTGAGCGTTAGTACATGGGGTGGGCTTATACACAGGGGGGCTTATA